GGGGGGCAATATTATAGATGGTAGTATTACATTTGGTTGGTCTAAACACATAATAATGTGTAATAAATTTCATTCTACTTAAAGAAGACATTAATAATTTGTGTTCATTTATAAAACCAAACTACTACTGACTGTGTTATGGGTCATGAATAATGTATCTTTTGCAAGAATTGTCTTTTGAAAAATTCAAAAACAAACTACTCAGAGGTCATTTGTAAAATGTATTCTAATGTTATTCGTTGTTTTTTATTACAAAATCCAGATAATTTTATAATTTTAAGATAATCATACATATATATATATATAATCTAAGTACTTAAACTTATTTGTATATTGTAATAATAATACCTTAAATGTATTGTTTTGCCAATAGGTAAAGTATAATCTATGTATGTCATCTTCTTGGTTGTATTTAAATATGGTATTATCAATATAATCAATGATTCTTTGACAAAATAATTGAAAGATATTATAATCTTATGAATTGGGAATATTTTGATGCCTCCTACCCAATAAAAACAGTACTCCTACAGCCACGTTTTACATGGTCATAATATTAATAAACTCATCGTGACAATAATTTCGCCGAAAGGGGGCTAAAAATCCCCTGGATGGGTTACTTGTTTTAACCTCACCCACCAATATAAAGAAGTGTGTTGTCTGTCATTCAGTCAGTAGACACTAAAAAGATGTCACATAAGGGGCGCTTAATGTTGCAATTTGTACTGTAGTGACGTCAATAGAACGTACGCATGCCATGAATCACAGAGAGAATTATGCACTCTATAGGCTGTAACACAGCACATGACATATGAACTTCAAAAGCAAAAAATGAAAATATTTTTTAATTTTGATTTTATTTACTCTTGAAACACTTTCGGGGACCCTGTAGAAATACATCTAGTAAAACCAGATATTTATTTCAAGGAATGTAATTATTGTGAGTAATATTATCTATATTTAATTAATAATTGTGGGTAGCAACAACAACTAAATTAAGTTCAATTAAAAGTCAGCAAATCAGACGCTCGGGCGCTAAACAAACGTTACAGAAAGAAGCTTGCTAAAAATAAACGTGTTAATATATCTGTCTTCAACTTGAGTTTTTACATGTAAAGTAATGTACTCCAGTGGCTCGTCGGTAAGTCAAAGGGATTGTTTCCCTAAACAATGGGTTTCGATACCGTTGGTAGACACATCCCATTGTAAATATAAGTTAATTGGTTCAATAATCTTTAAAAAAAGATAAAATAAGTTGTAAATATTTAATCAAAGTGATTGAACACAGTGTCGAAAACTGTAATATTTTTATTATATGTATATGATACGTCACGCGTCAGAGAAAAACAAAATCCTTAATTCAGATATTTACATGGAATGTAAGGACAACGTTCTCTCTCTATTTTTTTTTCTTTTTTTTTGCCAGAAGAATCAATAAATGTTCCAAAGTATTATTGGAGAAAGCTCATGATCTCATATTATACTCTAACAACTATTCTCTCCATCACAATTTTTTTTTGAATTAAAAATTAATATTCTCGAATGTATTTTATGGGTTTAGCTTCTTTAGGCATTTCGTGTAAAGCTATATATGCTGTATATGTGGTTATCTGCTTAGTCTTCCTTGATTTTGAACTGATAGCCGGAGGGAAGGCAGCTAGCCAACAGCATCCACCGCTAACTCTTGGGCTACTCTTGTCTGTATTGGAAGAGGCTGAGCCCCAAACTTGGAGTCATGATATCATATCAACAAAAGAGCGTAGCCGACACCTTTAAAAGAAAACGTATGTGATCGTATAAATTACACAGATAAAAAATAGAGAATTTAAGTAACCTTCCAAAATAAAATAAAAATTTGTATAGTTAGCTTATATAGTATCGACTTCATGAATGTATAATTAGTTTTATGTTCTGATTTAGGTCGTTTTTTATCAGATCGTAGTTTGTAAGTTTAGTAAAAAAGAATTAATTTCAACATCAGGGTTCGTTTGTAATTTAGCACAAAGCTACACAATGGGCTATCTGTGCTCTGCCCACCACGGGTATCGAAACCCGGATTCTAGCGTTAAAAGTCCGCAGACATACCGCTGTGCCACGGGGGGGAGGGGGGATTTAGCAACACCAGGGTTTAAGGATGAAAATAATAATATAAAAACATCCAGGTTTATTACAGCAATGCATCAGTAAAAAACAACATTTCTTCCCTGAGCTACGTACCGAACAGTGAATCGAATTAGCTTAAATACCATACTAGTGATGATATAATAAGCAAATAATTTAACAGTTAAATATTTTTACTATCCTATTGGTAAAAGAGCATAACAGTTTTAAATATCATACCGGTAAAAATAGTATTATGGAAGTAAAATAGTATAACCAGTTTAAAAATCAGACCAATAAAAAATTAAATTGTTTATTTGTATGTTATTAAATTGTTTATTTATATGTTATTCAATTGTTTATTTGTATGTTATTCAATTGTTTATTTGTATGTTATTAAGCATATTACTAGATAATGAACTGTACCTGTGCTGTGCTCACGTCGAGTATCGAAACCCTATTTTTAGCGTTTTTTCAAGACTTGTGATACCACAGACTTGCCTTTGAGCTACCGGGGGAGGAAGAACAAGGAAATAAATGACAAATAAAAATTACTATTATACAGCTAAAAAATTATTTAAAAAACAAGACTCTTTAAGTAAATAAATCTTTCTGACTTTATACCAATAAAGTGTAGCTTAAAACCTTACCTGTAAAAGAAAAAAAATATAAATAAGTCTTTATGTTAAACTTAAGTGTAAAAAACATAAATAGTTGAACTTAGCACTAGTAAGAACACTAGATAACTAATTTATTGAATATATATTTCAACTATCATACCAGTAAAAGGTCATAAATAGTTTAAACAACGTTCGGTGAATAAATATCTAAATATTTGTTATAAATAAGTATTTTTCATATCACGGTGGTAAAAGAGCAAAAGCAGTTTAAATACTATATCAGAAAAAAACATTATTTTACTAATATTATATTATTAATAAAGGATTTAATGTCTGAAAAAAAAATCAACTTTTTGACATCAGCTTCTTAAAAAAAGAAAAAGTTATTTATAATACCATATTTTAGTAAACAAAATGTGTATACACACGTATATACATGTATATATAACTATTTCTCCTCCAATGGTAGTTGAAAATACAGATTATGTGACCCAAGCTACTTTAGTATCAAATTACAGCTTTAACACCATTTTTTTTAATGAAATAAAGCGGTGACTGAGTTCAAAATGAAATGTACGTTCACATTCAAGTTTATTCAATACTACTGTCATAAAAATGTCATCTATCTTAACAGAGAATTGTTTCTTTCAGACAACTGTAAAAAAGAAGAGAAGATAGTACTAGAGCCACCCACGAGAACTAAAACTGCCATGCTGTAATGCTGTTTAGCAAGATTAATTTTTCTAATATACCATTACTCATTTATTTACAATAAGCAAGTACGTTTAATATGCATAGGAGATACTACATTATTTCAACCAGGATCAGTATTCAGAAAGAAAAGTCATTTTAGTTTGTTTTTGTTTTTTTCTGAAAAATGTCATCAATTGCATAAAGAGGTTGAGTACGTTATATTAAACGGACTTTAGAGCCTCATCACTTCGTTATGTTCCATGTCGCCACGTCCGGTCATGCTCCATCAGACGGTCGTGCATTCTGACAATAATCCTGCGGCATATTTTCACTGCAAAAGGTTCCATCGTAAGGCTGTCATATTGATAGCAATCTACTACTCCCTGTTGCTTTTCATATTCTTTTGCTCTTTAATGCTATTAGCTACGAGGAATATACACGTAATTCTAAATCTCCGATCTGAACACATCTTTATCATATCAGTGTATGAATATCTTGGGTCTAGAAGTGATCAGCTTTTGGTGGCATCACACTACCTATATAACGCTAACCAATGTAGAAATACAGTTATGATACATTACGTTTCACTACGACTTTATGTCGGCTGTGGTTGTTGCGTGACTTGCTGATTTGCATATTCAGAATTGTTTTAATATAACGTAATTAACCCATTGTACTAATTGTGAATCTGCAATAGCTGTCGGGTGAAACGTTGGAGAACAATACCAAATTTTCTAAAATAATAATATCCCTCAGTGAGTCAGTGGTAATTTTACGGAATTAAAGCACTAAAATCCAGGGTTTTATTCCCCATAATGGCCAGAGTGTAGATAACTTAATATGTAGCTCTGTGCTAAAACAAACAGACAAACACAATGATAATAGAAATACAAATATAAAATTAAACATCTATTTACAATAAGTCAGATTGTTTGATATTAGAATTTCGCGCAAAGTACCACAAGGGCTATCTGCGCAAAGCTCCGAATTTTGAACTAACAGACTAGAGGAAAGACAGTAAGTTAACAGCATCTACTACCAACTATTGGTTATTCTTGACTGATTGAATAGTAACAATGGACTGGCACACTTATAGCGTGCCTATGGCCACAAAGTGCAAAGCGCGTTTTTTGTGGCAACGGGACGTGAACCATGAATCGTCACATTCACATTCCAGGCACGCCCACTACAATAAGATAGTATTCTGCTTTACTGGTTAAGCTGAATATATTTGCTGACATACAATATATTTAATGAAATATGCAAAAATTAGTTTTTATTTATCAATCTTTTCTTTTGCTTCTCTAAAGTCTATGTTAATTGTTACGCAATTGATTAAAGTAATCACCTAATTCGAAGAAAATCGGTATACGTTTATACGTGTTGGTAGCAAATATAAGTATAACGTTTGAGGATACTTTTCGTGAATATGAGTAATTCTTTGTTCGGTATTGTCACATGTGAAGTATGTATTTGGGTATGCGTTTAAATTAATACTGAGAAAATTTTCATGTTATACATATGTGATGGGTACATCACCATTTTAAAACTACCCTATGTTACTTTAGCTGTTCTGTGAATTAAGATACTATTTCCGTATACAATTCATGCATTATAAAAATGTTCATATAATTGATTTGCTGCTGTGATTTGATATGTCGCGAAGGCGTTTTACTATAGATGAATGAAATGCCTCAAGGTCAAATATGGCTAGCAAAATAAAGCAAGGTACATTTCATACACAGTTATTTGATTTGGCACCTAACGCCATCTTGATTTGGAATAATTGGACCCACTCCCTGCATGCTGAAACTCGGTGTATATATATTTAAAGTTTTTCCATAATTTTATTACAGAAACGAATTAATTTTAACATCATTAAGAACAAAAGGTGATATAAAGACAACAGTTTCAATTCTAGTAAAGTTTTCGTGAAGGAATCACGGATTGTTTTAAAATGAAAATGAATAACTTACAAAATCTAACGCCATGTTGAGTTCAAGCAAGTGTTTGCGTCATGCTTGCAGATACACAAGTTTGGTTACGCAACACTTACTATGCCGTTCGTTTAATTTCTGTTAGATATTTTTATATATCTTGTTGCCAGAAACAAGGACTTGTATGCGCAGTAATGGTAATAGTGTTAATTCTTGTGTAAAATAAATAAATATATATATATATTCTTCATTTGAGTGATAATTAAATTTTTACCAATGTTTTTGCTACCACATTAAGTTTAAACCTGGACTGAAAAATAACATCAATAATGACGTCTTACTCGATGCGTTTTTACGGAACTTATAGATACGTTTTACTACTGTAGAAGGCTTATCGTTAACACACTTTAGTACATTTAGATAATTTTAATTTATGTTTAATAATTCTGTTTTTGTCCAAATAGAATAGTTTTCAAAAAATATCTCTGTGGAATAAGTAACATTTCCTTATTTTTGCCACACATGTATAAGCCCTAAATACTTAGAACTGTACTGCCCTGGCCTCAAGAGCGCCGGTAATACAATCCCACAGTGCAAAGCGCTGTTGTTGATGCGCATGCGTTTTCCTCGTGATAGCAGTGCTCACTCCCTTGTCCCGTTTTCGTTTTGCGCTTTTACTAACGTTTCGAGTATAACATAAAAAGGTTTATTTTTCGATCATTTTAGAGTCTAAAACTTTGGTTAACGTTTGCAAAATGAGTGATAATAGTTATGAACAGTTGATTTTGAACACAATCGACCAGCTTCGGGGAAGAAAAGCGCGGCCTGATTTAATGCGAATTTGTCACATGTTGGAAAGGAAGCACGGGGTAAACTCCGCCGACGTCAAAGCTGAGTTGCAGAGACTCGTGGATGCAAACATCATAATCAAAGTAGATTATAAAGGTAGTATCAGTTATCGGAATGTTTCTAAATCGACCCATAGTTGTAGTAATACCCGAAATGGGGGGTTATTCAACTCAGACGAGGTAAGCAAAGCTTTGGGCAATGCAATAAGCCAACTGACCTCGAGGGAACCAACAAAAACAGAACTCGGTGTTTCTACTGGGGAAATAGAAAAAATCCTTGGCACTTTGAGTTTGAATATCAAGTTAACACAAAATGAGTTAAAAACTGCTTTGGAAAGAGAGGTCAGTGTCGGAGCGATAAAAAAACTGACCACGGGAAACTTTGTTTTAGCAACTTCCCGCTTCTCGCAACAAAACTTTGATTCTTCTCAATATAATTGTTTATCTTCACAAAACTGTGTAGGGCTAAGAAAGTCAGAAGGTGGGACAAAACGACACCACACCGATTCTCAAGGTTTTCGTACCAAAGGACAAGAACGTGGACGCAGAGGCCGCCGAAAGGTTTGCAGAAACGCTAAATACTATATAAATAACTACGGTTTACTTCCAAAAAATCAAACGTGTATATAAAACTAATTATAGACTTTCCGTTTTATGAAAACACTTCACTGTTGATAAAGACTTTGTATAATTTAATGTTGTTTTTCATATTCACTTTGTGAAGAATTGATATAACAGTTAACAGTTGCTAAACAAAACCAGAGAAATTATATTGATCTGTTCTTTAAATTACTAATTTAATTACACATGTTGCATCTACTGCACCTATTCGCATTGTTATAGCAATCAAAGATTAAACAATTGTAAAGATTAAATACCAAATATTGACCCCCCCCCAAAAAAAAAAACTTGATAGCGTCAAAGAAAAAAAACAATATTACATCGCCACGCGACTATCTCGGAAGTTCCGTTTTGTTAACTTTCTTTTCCTATTACCTATACCTGCTTTACTTTGGTGCAGAACAAGATTAGCCGCATATTTAGGGCTTTATCCTAGGATACGACCGCTTTCATGCTTTATACCTTCGCAGAGAAAAAAGAAAAGTAATCAGTGAAACGCCCGACACATTGACGAAATCTTGTTAAATAGTTTTATTTTTCACCCCTACATGATAACTTGTACAATCTAATGTTTTGCCAGTATTGCGCTACTGTGATTTTACTTAAATGACACTGTTATAAGAAGTACTACACAGCTTAAGCCTTTACATGTAGTTCAAAAGATATTTTTTTTTTTAGTTTCTTCGACGCAAAAGAATTAGAAAATGATACTTTACAGTTTCTTTGGCGGAAACGCGCAAGTTAGGTTTAAATAGACGTGTAACAACTTTCATACGTGTTGAGCAGCTTTCGTTGTATACTTTTTAAATGTTTCATTATACACACATCAACTAAATGTAACTGTCATTATAACATCAGTAAATGTTTAGGTCAAAGGTCACGGGTGATTTAACATGTGTAAGAAATGCAAAAGAAATCTAAATAGGCTTTTGAGCACGTTATATATGTCTGCACCAATGATACAGAAAACAGTAATATATTTTTAAGAAGATCAGATGTGAATAACAATTAAACAATGACTGAACAATATTAGCAGTTTTAATATAGGTTATTGTTTCCATGTGAGCTACAATAATAAAGCTCATATATTGGTCGATTTTAAAACCGCTTTATTTATGTTACTTTTATTTGTGAATTGTTGAGGCAGATATTTTCTCTGTGAAGCAACTAAGATTCTTCGCCTATCTTTATATAAGTAAAATATATAAATATTGACGCTCATGTAGCAGCATGATGTATGCATTATTATCCACGTAATATTTATCAAAATAATAAGCTTAAACGTTTTCGAGATACTGCTTAAACGGCATAGGTATTACAGCACGAGTCTCCAGATGGAGCAGTGGTAAGTTTACCAACTTACAATGCTAAAATCCGGCGTTCGATTCCCCATGGCAATGAGACCGCATATATCCCACTGTGTAGCTTTGCGCTAAAACAACAACATTGTACCACAACCCCCTCTAGCGACACGCCAGTTCGATCATAATATAATAGTTTCTGTATATAGTAAAACAAAAGCTCAACACCCAACGACAACGTAACGAAGTACAAGAACCTGTTAGTGGAAAATTTTCTGTTCGTTTCCAGTCCTTTATATGCATATTGAATTAAAGTTCAACCTACAGTACTATTATTTGTTACAAAATAACTGAAATGTGCATCGCACGGGGATTAGTCAGTGACACTAATCTTCAGTAAACAAAGATTTTCAATATTTAAAGCCATTTCGAAACAGTACATCTTTAGTTGAGCGAAAAAATTGTTTTCCTTAGAAAGTAGCGCTATAGCGGAGTTAGATGTGTTTACTGAGGAAGGGCAAACAGAAACTTTGGAAGTTTACAGCTGGATATTTCAATAGAAAATTCCTGTACTATATAACATGAAAAACATGTTCTAAAAAGCAAGAAAGTGAAAGTGCTATTTACGTGTTTTTCTACGTCAATAATGTTTCATTGTTTTTAGGAAAAGGTCTTAGTATCGATGCTATTGTTTTGTAGAGATATATCTGTTTCGTGATGGTTTAATTAAGATATACATGTGAGCGAAATGTGAGAGTTCGTTAGAAAAAACAACACCAAACATATCCTCGGGTTTTAATAAACTAGAGAGGGTGTTCAATGGTGCGCAGATGTTCGTCTAAGATTAGGTTGACCTTTGCAGGTCAGGTTTATATTGTTTAAAGTTAAAGAGTATAAGCGTGCAGACAACAAATTTAGATTATTTACTTGTAGTGGACTTGCCACAAGCTCTCTAAAAAAAATCAAAAAAAAATCGTTGTTCTTGAAAAGTTTTTCATGATGATAATTTTAACTGCCAGAACAACCAAATGGATTGTTTGAGGCTGTCCGTATGATTTTAAATTCACTATCTCCAAAATTTATTGATGTAAGTAACAAATAATTGAATAAAAATTATACAGAAAGAAGAACACTGGCATAGACCCGTCAACCTGTGCCATCAGCAGCTGCGGTGAGAAATTACCAGATTTTCGAATTCTTTTAGTAAAAAATAAAATACAAGTGTAACAGCTTTTTGAAATGTTTATTCAAAAAATTCATGTACACGTATACATGAAAGTGAACTTTTGTAAAAAGCAATTGCTACAATAATTTATCAGTTAGAACTTCATTGTAGCAGTCTTTCACTGGCTTATTTCGTTGTAGCAGTCCTTGACTGTCGTATTTCATTGTTACATTTCTTTGTAGCAGTCCTTAAGTGTCGTATTTCATTGTAACAATCTTTCATTGTTACATTTCTTTGTAGCAGTCCCTAAGTGTCGTATTTCATTGTAACAATCTTTCATTGTTACATTTCTTTGTAGCAGTCCCTAACTGTCGTATTTCATTGTAACAATCTTTCATTGTTGCATTTCTTTGTAGCAATATTTCATTGTTGTGCTTCGTTGTAGTAGTCTTAGCTTTTTAACAATTAAAAGTGTGGATTTTCATTATTTCATCAAAAACGGTGAAAAATAAATATTTTTGGGAATCATTTTTGAATGCATGAGATTTTCATTGCTAGTAGGCGCGAGAGCGTGACTAATGAGAGTTGAAAAGTATCCTGGCAACAAATTTCACTTCCTGGTGACTGTTCTGATTAACATCACATTTATTTAAAATACACCTACTGTCGTATCTCAGCCGGCCTGAAGAGCGCTGGTATTAGAAGAAAAGCCTCGTCGGCACTGGATATCGCAGATATAGTGTGGATGACACGTTGTTATACATTCTTCTTTCCTGTCATGCATAACTTCATAGAATTTATTTTAAACACCGCTGTCTAAACATTACGAATGTCACTCATTCTATACCCAAAAAAGGCGGTAAACCATTATTATTTTTATTCAAAACATATGGACTGGGGATGGTTTAGCAGTTAACTGCCAGAGCTGTGAATTTTGCACTTTGAGGTCATGGGTGCACTATAAGCGTGACGGTTAAACCCCGCTTTTTGATCGGACAAGAGAGTAGCCTAAGAGTTGACAGTTAGTGTCATTGACTAACTGCTTTTCTATCAGCTCAAAATTAGGGATGGATAGGTTTAGAAAACCAATGTGTAGCTCTGCACGAAATTCTGAGACAAAATTATATATGTTTGTTTGAAATTAAGCACAAAACTACAAAATGGGCTATCTGTGCTCTGCCCAGTACGAGTATCGAAACCCTGTTTCTAGCGTTGTACAAAATTAGATAAACAAAATCTAAATAATTATTTGTTTAATAATGATAAATTGTCCAGAAATGTTAAAATGTACTATTTTGGTCTAAGTAAAATATATATAAAATATTAAAAAAGAAAATCACATACCCACCTGATTGTGCGAGAGTAAAGTTCGCCAACAAAATTATCTACCCGTATGTAAGTATATATGTATGTGTTAATAAGACAACAGTGACTTGATAGTTGTGTGCAGTTAGTTTCTAAGGAACGTTACATTGCTCAAAACGTGCTTTAGAATGTACTTAAATTTCAAATAATATGCATCCATCCATATAAACGTACGTACTGCAAAGGACACTGGGTTTGAACGTCAGGCAAGAAATGTGGATATTTTTTATTATATCACAGTGAACTTATCTATATATATTACGAAGTTAGTAATAGGACAAAGTAGATGTTATATTCATGCCTTTGAATCTTTTAATGTTTTACAGAAAACATTATTAATTTCAAAATGTAAAAGAAATTAGTGCATATATTGAATACTGGCACGTCAAATAGGGTAAAAACGCCGACTCTTCATGTTTCCTTTCACGGAGAAATCTTACTGCGCCATCTCGTGGTAGGGATAAACAGTACTATATTACGAACATTAGACGGAGTTTTAAAAGACAAAAACATTTGATTTCTGAGAAGAAGCGTCAATTATTATTTGATGAGAACTGGTACAGAAAATATAGCACAATTTTAAATAGCTGTAACAGTGACTCTCCAAGTACCCAAAAATATATACCCAAGTCCACGCAGCTTAATTAGACAGCTTAGTTGTTTCACACTTTTACGGACAAGAGAAAAGTTTGAACCTGAAGAAGAAAGGTCCACCTTTCGAAAGCGCTCGGGTTATAGGGTTTTATTCATTTCTATCAAGAAAAAGTAATAATATTTTGTTTTACCCCTGGTGGCAATATGAATTATCTAACACTGTAAACTATAAGTCAAATAAAATTTGCTCGAAACTGGGTATGAAATAAATAAACATTTTCCGGTAAGGTGAAAAGAACTGTTTTTTTTTTTTTTTGCAAGAACGTTTTAAAACAGGTAATGTTTATAACGAGTTGCTTTTGTAATCTTTTGAGGATAATTTTAGAGCAGTGTGTTAGTGGCTTATTTTCGAACGACAGGTGAAGACCACAAAAAATGAGAAATGAATATCCTATTTTTTTTCTTTACTCTTTTTAATATTTAAACAAACTGTCGTCCCCTCGCTGGGACAGCGG